TGCATTCCTTTGTCAGGCAGACAACCCTGGGGCCATTTCTCATACAACATGTGATTTCAAATTTTCAAGCCCCTTTCCATTAAATGGATGCATTGTTGTTTCCAGCATACACCCAACAAACTGACAAACATACTGACACAACATACATGCAAAGTAGCTCAAAATACTGACTGCATGTAAGTCACAAAGGTAAGAGTTTCCTCCTCAAGTCAAACTTCAAGGGTCTCCGATATTCACCATCAAACAAACTGACTTTAAATACTACAGTTGCAGTCTGTTACTATGGTTACCATAACCATTAGCCTGGAGCATGAAAGCCATTCTGATGGACCAATGTTGATAAGTAAACTGATGTAGTTCAAAGCTTTAATAAGTGTATCAGATGACTGCGGTATTCCATGATCATTACACTCTCCGAGAGGATACATATAACAGAATGTCTTTGCTGCTGACTTCAGACATCCATAATGGGTTTGGATATTTTATATATAAGGGCTACTGCAGTCAAAGAAACTCAAACATTTCCAATGTAGTTCCGGCCATAAGATGGCAAATTGTTAGGCATTCAGCCTGTCCTGTATAGCTAACAGACAAATGCTAGGCATCAAGTACGTCCATTGTAGGTCCTGGTATAATCCTTCCCACTTGTCTGGCGTAGTTACCTTGTGGAAGACAATCAACTGTCAGATTTCAAACATGTTCAGTGTAGCTCCTTGTATAAGACAATCAACTGTTAGATTTCAAACAGAAGCCCCACAACATACATCATGATGAGTGGCCACAGAAACCAGAGATGGTTCTGCCAATAACAGCAATGACACAAGAAGCCTTGCACATCCTGAGGCCTTCACCATGTGTCATGTCTCCCTCCAAATCTATGCCTTGAGGTTCAATGTAGCTCCTTGTATAAGACAATCAACTGTTAGATTTCCAACATGTTCAGTGTAGCTCCATGTATAGACAATCAACTGTTAGACTTCCAACATGTTCAGTTTAGCTCCTTGTATACATGTTCCAACATTTTCAGTGTAGCTCCATTTAGACAATCCTTGTATTCCAACATGTTCAGTTTAGCTGTTGTAAGACAATCACTGTCCAAACATGTTCAGTTTAGCTCCTTGTATAAGACAATCAACTGTTAGATTTCCAACATGTTCAGTTTAGCTCCTTGTATAAGACAATCAACTGTTAGATTTCCAACATGTTCAGTGTAGCTCCATGTATAGACAATCAACTGTTAGACTTCCAACATGTTCAGTTTAGCTCCTTGTATAAGACAATCAACTGTTAAGACTTCCAACATGTTCAGTTTAGCTCCTTGTATAAGACAATCAACTGTTAGATTTCCAACATGTTCAGTTTAGCTCCTTGTATAAGACAATCAACTGCTAGACTTCCAACATGTTCAGTTTAGCTCCTTGTATAAGACAATCAACTGCTAGACTTCCAACATGTTCAGTTTAGCTCCTTGTATAAGACAATCAGCTGTCAAATTTCAAACATGTTCAGCCTAGCAATTGTGTAAGACAATCAACTGTTAGATTTCCAACATGTTCACGGTTGGTCCTTGTGTAAGACAATCAAGTGTAGGACTTCAAACATGCTTGGCATAGCTCTTGATATAAGACAGTCATATGTTAGACTTCCAACATGTCCAGTTTGGTATTTGAGAAAAGAAAATGACAGGAAGTGAGATCAGGTTGTATCATGTTAATTATTCACTGAAGCATGCTTTTCACAAACTCTAGCACCGACTGATTTAACTTTCTCTTTGCACTTCAGCAACATCCACACGATGCCATGCATATTTTTCCATAATATCATGAACAGACCTCCAAATCATATGTTTACATCAGGTATTCAAACTTCATCACATTTGTGGTCAACAACAAAAGCATAAAATCCTCTCAATATTCATAAGAAATCTCTGTTAAATTAGTCACTTGATCCATACAGACTTTATCGTGAGCATGTGTACATGAATCACTCATCGTCATGACACCTGGTGTTGATTAAAGGTGAGGGTGTCCCGCCCATCCAGTCTATAATGATCCCCAGGTATTGTCAGTTACATCACAGGCAGAAAGTGTGCTTCATGGTTATGGTGCTATTTACAGATAATCATTATCCAATCTGCTTCCCCAAACCCAATGCACTGTCTTCAGGAAGTTTCTGAACTCAAGGCAGTTCAGGCAGAAGCCCCAAAACATAAATCATGATGAGTGGCCACAGAAACCAGAGATGGTTCTGCCAATAACAGCAATGACACAAGAAGCCTTGCACATCCTGAGGCCTTCACCATGTGTCATGTCTCCCTCCAAATCTATGCCTTGAGGTTCAAAACACAACTTTCACCTGAATGTCATGACTGACTAAATCTTTGACTTTCACTGAAATCCGTGTCCTTATGTACTACCAAGATCAAAGCAAATGCTGAAACAGGGAGCAGTCTCTACCAAATACCAGATACGTTTGAGTTATTCCAAATTCGTCTTTTAGGACTGGTAGGGTTGAGTTTTTCATTCAGGAAAAGAGATATATTCAACATGCTCAAATTGTCAAATGCTTAAAAAACAATAGTATTTTATGTTGCAAGAAGATTTTGAAATGATACAGAAGTCAAAAACTATTCAAAAACTTTTACAAAAAGACCTTGCTGTCTTTACACCTGTTTCATAGTCTATTTAAATTCAAAATTAATATTGAGTGTTAATCCATTGCTCTTATGATACATCATACAGTTGACACATTTCAATTCTAATGTACAGTTTTAAGTGTTCAATCTTCAAATACAAAAGGTAATGATCTTTCTCGATATCAAAGTAGAAAGTCTTCATATAATAACTCCCTGCACTTTAACATGAACCTTTGACAAACAACAAATATAATAGGAAATCGTTAAAATAATGTGAAATATACAACCAGGAGCCACGATTAATCAAGACTCTCTATCCCCATTCCACACTTCAAAACCCTCTCCTAGCATCTATAATCAACTTGATGGCAACTCTTTCACACCATGAAAACCTCCACAGCAACAACTGCATATACTCCAAGTCAGTCAATATCAAAGACAATCCTCAGCCAGTGATCCGCTCAAGGGAAGATCCATACAAGTACACTCTTGTCACCAACACTATCCTGAGGACAGCCCATCATAAGATGGCCATATTGTTCTCCCAGTGTCCATGCAGCTCCTTGTGTTTTGTAATAATGTCCAATTGTGGTCAGCTGGTGAGCTTCACAGGATGTCTCTGCGGCCTTGGCAGTTGACAGGATTCATCATGTTTGATTGCTGTCAATCTTGAGAAGACGTCAATAACATCCCCAACTGTCTAGCACCTGGAAATGTTTATGTGTGTCGCTTTTGGGGTAAGACCATGCTCAAATTCCAAGGAAAAGAAAATTCAGATATCAAGACAACAAATTCAAAGATCATTCACTGAATAAAATGCACAATATTTTCACTAATATCATTATTAAAAAGGTAAAAAAATTTTGAAACCTATTGTTGCTTAAGAAGAATTCCAAATATTTACTGTCAGTACAACTAAATCTTTTGAACATGAAAGTAGAAAAGATTTCGAAATAATTTATTACAGAACCTTTGAAGGCAAGAACTATTTGTTCACACAATACGTACAACACCCAAAACTAATCCTCAAGTTCAACACTAAATCAATGACATCAATATCTGACAAACTTGCTAATTGAAATGTATGACAATGTTGTCTGTTTACACACATCCCTGACAGTGAGCCACATTCATTTTACTTTGTTCAGTCAGGTACATTTGTTTACATCTATTGTGTGCATTAGAAACACATAGCTGCATCTTTCAATTCTGAAAGGTAATGGTGTTAACAAGCGGTCAAGATGGACACTTGCAGAGAACTACTGGAGACTGAATAAAACCCACGCACTTCCATTACACCTGCTGTTTAATCAAGGCCGTGAGTTGTATTGAACATTGAGCCAATAGCTAAGCTTAACCGAAAGCATAACCCATGTGAGAATACATTGTGGGATAAACAAATCACAAAAATGCTTTTTTAGAAAACAAAACAGTTACAAGCATATCTAAAGGTAATCCCTAAGCAATATTCTCACTGCTACAAAAATAACATTCATTATTTTCAGATTTTAATGTTTTGGGTTTTAATATATTTTCCTGCTGATATCAAATATGCTGCACTTTCCATAATCTGCACTTTCCATAATCAATCTGAAACTAACTCTGTTTATCATTAATCCAATAATTCATCCTTGCTGAATTGTAAAGTTATTTTGAATTGAATACAGTACAAAACCTCAGATCTGGAAGAATTATATTTTATATTATTATACTTTTAAGGCTCATAAAATCATTCCTAATTTTAAGTGATTAAGATTTCAACAACTAATATGGAACTAACGTAAATTAATTCTCAATTTTCAAATGATCAAGATTTCAATAATTAATATCCCACAAACATCATACAGTCATTCTTAATAAGATAATCAATATTTCAATAATTAACATCGCAATAATGATATTGGCAATATAGGTTATAACATATCATGCAGAGCAAATATATGTTTAACTAACCTTGACAAAATGAAATGAGTATTTCTTATTATCTGCAATGTCAGGTCATTCAGACAAGAGTGTTTGTTTCACTCCTTGTCCAAGATGATAAATATTCTAAGATGGCTGCAGTAAGGAAAGAATTTGTCATGTAAATAACAACGACTTCTGTCTAAATACATTGTGCATCAAACTGCATTTCTTTGCATTCTTTATACATCAACACTCCAATCAAACACATACACAGTTGTGGATGGGAGGGCAACTCCTGTCGAACCCCCTTACCTTCTCTGCAAAACCAGCCAAACTGAAACTTCAAATCAAGTATCAAACACAAATTCCTGTTCAACAAACTCTTATCTACGACTTTCAAACAAACATTTCACAACTTTATACAAAAATAAGAATGAAAAACCATCAAAAGACAACTCACCAGAAATCTTTTAAGTCCTTTCCCATGAACAAGCTTCAAGCCAAGCGTCCCTGATCAGCAATGGCTGATGGCCTGGGCCTGTGAAGCAAGGAAAAAAGTTACATAACCCACGCTACGTCACTGACCTCCGATCTGCCCAGATGGCTTGAGGCAAGACTGGTTCGCTGGCTCTCCATTTGAATGGTAAACCCCAACTGTGAATCATTGAATGGGGTGTAGCGGCTAGCGCCTATTAGAATGAAGCATTAGATACCAACAAGGCAATAAAATGACCCAACATTGTACCAGTGATAGCTATTGATGCCTTGTTTTTCTTATCTGGTATTGTTTATTCAGAAACAGATTAAAACCTGGTAAGCTGTCTGAAGAAATGGTTACTAGTCCCACTATGAGGATAATGATAGTTGATGCAAAATTATGTAACCTAATTGAGGGTTTACTTGTCTTCCCTGATTATAAAATAAGGCATTTTACACAAAATTGGTTCTAATTTTTCCTAATATAAACATATACAACAACTGTTCAAACAAAGTTAAAAACTTATAACTCTTAACACAATGATGGAATGAACACAAAAGACATATTTGAACAAATACTAAACATACAACAAAAATCTTTTAAAGTTGCCAGATTACATCTTCCAACTAAAACAAGAGAGAAATATCTGACAGTTTTCAAAACTTGCTTCCTAAAAATATATTTCACACACTTTCTTCCCATGACACCAACTCATTGAACTAATCTTTAACTGACCCAATTTAACACTGTCAGGAATCATAACCAAATATGGCAACCATGAAACCAGACATCAGGACACAATTTCCTTCGATTTCTGACCAAGTCCGACATTGACCAATCAGAAACTTTCACCATCATCTTAGCAGCTGGACATGCACTATTCTATAATTTCAACAACAATGACATGGCCAAAAAACTCATTGTCCTTCCAGAAAACTCCAGCCACTATTTCCGCTGTCCGCAGATGGAAGGAGTGGGGTCACTCTGGCCCTATTGAGTCAGACTGACCCCTATTGAGGTCCCTCAAGGCCTTGAGCATGCCTCTCCGAAACACAACACCACGTGGGATACTACTGGTCAATTCATTTTGACATGCCAATGACCAGGGAAAGGGGGATGAACTTCTTTCAATGGTTAATGCCGGCACTTGAAAGAGTCCAGGACTGGAATTAGGGGATGTTTTAAGCTTTATGATTTAATGAGCATTACTTGGTGGTTAAGGCACAATTTTGAATTGGATGTTTCTCATTTGTTTCCTTTTCCAGAGAAAACTGTCTTGAAGTAAGGAGACCTTGATTTAGATATAATGTCTTACTGAGTTTCATTACAATCAATGGGTGTTTTCTTCAGCTGATGGTAAAATTACAAAAAGATTCCCATCTTCATTGACTTGAATAAGTACAGGCAGAAACATTCATGTTTTTTAATTTACAAATTAAGTATGACAGTGAAATGGAAACTGAGAAGTAGCATCCAGGGTTTGTGGACAAAGGAACTTGCATGTTTACACAAAAAAAGGAAGACAAGGAAAGAGGGAAAACAAAGAAAGAAGGAACAAAATAGAAGTGCCAAAAGACTTTAGAAAATCATGATCTGAAGTCAGCTCTGCTTAACAAAACCTGAATCAGGTGTACTATTCGTATCCAACACAACCTTGTACTGTCAAATACTTAATGTAGCGAATGTAGGAAGTCATGATATCCAAAAATCACTTCCAATTCATATTGAACATAAATATTTAGGGATCATGAATATTTTTGGGGCACATTTTTGTTGCAAGAAAGTGAAGACTAAGCACACGATCTAAATAATATAATCCCAAACCTATTTTCTCTACAACTTTTCAATACATGCTGAAGAAACAATTTTCAATCATTATCATTTATCTCAGCTTATAAGGCATGATAGAAATAAAAAAATAAAAACAAGGCACTCTTTAATATTCATGGTGTTTGATGTACTGAAGTGAAACACACCAACCAAAAACTATTTTGAACTACATGAGTGACCATGTTTCCTGATCTGTTGCTAACTGTCAATAAAGGACATTGTTGCTAATGGCTTGGATGTCTCTGAGTAATTTTGGGAGTCTGTGGTATTTATGCATGATTACCGTTAGTTCGTTTTAGCTACACTGACAGGAAACTTTCTTTCACTAAACTATGTCAGTCCCAATAGCAGTCCCAAAATTAGATGTTGTCAGAATCTTTTCAATCATAATTATTTCTTTGTTTTTAACAGGATCAAATGTTTAAGTAAATTTTCTGATCAAGTTACTCTCTTCAGGTGTGATGTATACAATCTGAAGAAAATTAACCCTCTTCATGTGACACAAACAAAACAAAAATATAATTGTTATATTTTTACATAAAACATGTTACTTGAAAAGAAATCTGACAATGATATTAATGTACCCTTTGTAAACATATGTAACCAAAACTGCTAAAATTAAGAAATCTTTCCAAAATTACCTACCAGTACATCTGTTTTAGTAAAAATGTATATAGAGAAAGCTAGATATTATACAAACTCTAAAATTCTGAAACTATGCATTACTGCCTCACAAATATCAATTCCATTTCATTTTCAAAAGACTAATTCTATGACAAATTCCCAATTTCAGACAAGTAAACAATATGGCCGGTAACACAAGAACTGCCGATGTGACCTGACCTGACAATGAAATGCTGATGGGAGACAGAGACAGGCCTAGTTTAGCCCCTAACTATGCAACACTGTGCTGGCAAGGTGTGTTGCGACTGGCTAGCTGGTGGTGTTCAGGTGGACAACTCAGGTGAGGTGCCTCCTTGACAGGTGAAGGGTTATCCAGTGGTCAGTCTATGTCACTCACACAGGACATACTTATATGGTACGAGCTATTACAGTCAGCTCATCTCCTTGAGAATCCTTGTGTGTGGACATATCCTATCAAGCTTGGGAGCTAATTCTGAAATCATAGTCATTGCTTTTCCTACAGGTGTGATTAAAGAAAATGTTCTTGTAACATTTCTCAGCGGATATACATGAACACAACATAAAAATTATATGTAAGTGCATTGTCTTTTTGTGTACATTACATGTCATACCGATACAGAGATATCCACAAAGACTTTGATGTTTGAGATAATACCGTTTGTTTTATTGTTTATTTGTTGTTAAAAATTCCACAACTTTCCTGCAATATAATGGCATTCTGTAAATAATCAATTCTGGACCAGACAATCCAGTGATCAACAGCATGAGCACTGATCTATGCAACTGGGATATGATGAAATGTCTCAGCGAACCTGACCACCCGATCCTGTGATTCGCCTCTTACAACAAGTATGGGTTGCTGAGACAAATTCTAATCCGGATAGATAATATATTTACTATTAAACAAGTATCACAGAAGATGACAAACTACCTCCAAATTTTCATGAAAGAATGAATATCTATTAGTTTTAGAGATATGATCTGGACAATAAAATATTTTCATTATGGTCGAGCAGAAAGACTGATTATTATATCCTCCCATATTACATACAAGGCGGATAGAAAGATGTGAGTGAGTGAGTTTAGTTTTACGCTGCACTCAGCAATATTCCAGCTATATGGCGGTGGTCTGTAAATAATCGAGTCTGGACCAGACAATCCAGTGATCAACAGCATGAGCATCGATCTGCGCAATTGGGAACCGATGACATGTGTCAAACAAGCTAGCGAGCCTGACCACCCTATCCCGTTTGTCACCTCTTACGACAAGCATGGGTTACTGAAGATTCATTCTAACCCGGACCTTCATGGGTTGGATAGAAAGAAGAATGCCTAAAGGGACTGGGTGGTCAGGATTGATGACTTGGTTGACACATGTCATCCTATCCCAGTTGCGTAGATTGATGCTCATGTTGTTGATCACTGGATTGTCTGGTCCAGACTTGATTATTTTCAGACTGCCTTCATATAGCTGGAATATTGCTGAGTGTGGTGTAAAAAACTAAACTCGCTCACTCACTTTACTTACAATAACAACAAGTCTGAATTAGCTGTGGACAAGTCAGGTCCTACTCGTGTTTCCTATGTTAAATCTGTTAAATCTTTCATCTTCCTTTACTTCATCCATCACATGTACGTTGAATAATGAATAAATATTCTTTACTGTTATCAAGCTCAAGGGATGTAATTATACATCATGATATTGATGTATCCATGATGCCTTAATGTCCCAACTGTATCGACCGCCTCCGTGGTGTAGTGGTTAGAGCGGCCGCCCGGAGAGTGGAAGGTCGCGGGTCCGACCACATCATACCAAAAGACATTAAAATATGGTACTTGTTGATCCCTGCCTGGCGCTCAGCATTAATGGGTACAACAAGGACTGGTCGGCTCGGAGTCAGTATAATGTGTCTGAGTGGGGAATTCATGCTTTACTGCGGATTGGTATCTCAGTGGGCTAGCACTATAAAACCAGCTTAAGTCTGGGCTAGTACAAGCAGCCGCACATACACATACACACGCATGCACATCGTCATATGAGCGAAATATTCTCAAGCACGACGTTAAACCCAATTTCACCTCACCTCACCCAACTGTATCATAGAGCATCAATAGTAAATTAACACTTCACTACAACCAAAATGCTGAGGTTAGTCTGTAGCAGTCTGTCTCACAGTTCCTCAGCCACAATAGTTTCCCTTCAGGCTTAAAGTACTAAGTAAAGCAAGTCTAGATTTCAAAAGCTTCAGGATTCTGAAAACATGAGCTCAATTAAGATTGAGTTATTTGTTGCTATCAAAATTTTCATTTTCAAAGACTAAGTGTTTGTGTAGTAACTTAGATTAACAAAGATAAAACAGGTGAGTTTCTAAACCACATGTATTGCATGTATATGTGTATAATATTTTGAGTAACCTAATCTTAGGAGGGTTGCAAGAAGATTTTGAAATGTTCACTGACATAGTCAATAAATTCCACTTTGATATAAAACAACTAGCAGTCAAGTAAATTGTCTAGCAAATGTACAGTTATTTCTGTCTCTATTAATGTGAAGTAATTTAATTCAGTCTCCATGATATATTTTG